TTATGATGCACTACTGTTGTATGTAAATTAAAATTCAAGGGAGGTGTGACCAAAACTATGAACAACTAAAACAAATATACATATGTATCAAAACTTACATTCATAAGCTCCCTAGAAGTAATCTTCCTGAGATTTGATGAAGGTGTATCACCTGCATGCATTAATGTCGATATATCTATACCAATTAATTGTACACATACTGTCATTCTCCAAATTATCTTGAGTTTGCAGGTTGTAACTATGTCCAACGTCTTCACTTTCATCACATATATCTTGAAACTGACTCTCATTAGTATCTTGGAAGCACTCCCTTCCTAAAATATAAAACAAAAAGTCAATTATTTACAATTAACAGAGTCCACCATACCCTCTGTGAATCCACACAACATTGATGTACTTTCTCCTTGCTCCCATGATGCAATTATCTTCTCTAAATGGTCACAACGTGCTTCAAATTCAGAACCAACTACTTCAGATGCCAAAGATGCAAGTTTTGTTGTAATCTTAGACACGTGACGAAATTTTTCAAACTATAAGAAATTAGGGATTGGTAATAAACATAATTTATTGGAGATAATTACTTGCCTGAGATAAAACTTTTTTCTTTGGTGGAGAACACATTACCACGGAGCAATCTGATGATTGTCCTTCGTGATCATTAAGGAAGACACGCTGTGAAGCCTTGTAGTACTCCATAGTCCAACGTTTATCACAAAGAGAAGGCTCAAATATATCCATATTGGCGTCAATTCGGACAGCAATGATGTGACGACAAGGCAGTCTCATTGACTGCCACTGCATACAATGGCAGGAAGTGGGTGTAACAACTAGTTCACCTTCTGATGATTTAACACAATATTCCTGGTCACTAACACTAATAATTTGCACTTTATCTTTCAATGACATTTGTCTGGAAACAAACTGATAAGCGTAATGAGTGAGATGGGACATGTATCTGATTAAACCTGGATCGGTAGATTCTGGAACAACATGAACCTTCTGAGCAGTAAGACCTGCTTTGTGGTCACGTTCGGATCGCAGTACACTTAACGTTAGGAAGAACTTTTCAATAAATTCTTCTAAAGAGGAATAACGAGATATGACAGACTTAAGCTTCGAGTTTAGAGATTCCAATCGATTGTTCGTGTTATTCAAAAAATTTCCACTAGAATATTTCATCCCCATTGTCCATTGCTTTCGTATCGGGTGCCAGTTTTCATTGAAGTACTGAATGACAGTACTTGGTGCACAATCCTTGAGCCTAGTATATATTTCATCATACTTATCTTCATTCGTAGCATACGCCATTTGCTGAAGTAGTTCAAGATACAAAGATCTTTGACCTGATGTAATACCCATCTTTTCTGTAGTAATCTCCCTTCGGAATGAGCGAAATGTGTGATATAGGCAAATTAGCATTTGGGCGTTGGGAAACTGAGAAGCAAAGACGTGCCTTTCTGTCATGTCTTTATCTGTCATTATTACTCTTACTTTCTCCCAAGCTGGATTTTCTTCTTTAAATATCCTGGAAATATTGGTAAGAGAAGATTCGTTTTCATCCAACAACAGAAATGCCGCTGCAACTTCACTTTCCCCATTGCCATCCTCCACGAGCAATATATACAAAGGGAGTCGCAATTCCAGCAACTTATATGTTGCATCCACGCATAAGAATTCAGGATAAGAAGAAAAAGACTGCTTCATTGCATTGTCTTGAAAGTAAATACCTTGAAATATATTGCTATCACTAACTAAGACATGAACAGTGGCACCTACAAAACAATTGAATAGTTTTATCACCTACAAGGTGTCACACATACCATGCTTTTCAATCAAAGTTTTGACAGTGGTCTCAAGATTATTCCTAGTCTTTTCGTTATTTTTCTTGGTCTTTAGA